GGAGTCTCACTCTGTCACCCAGCCTCGACCTGCTGGGCTCCAGCAATCCTTCCACCTCAGCCTTCCAAGTAGCTAGAATTACAGGCATGTGCTACCACGCCCGGCTGATTTTTTGACTTATTGTAGAGATGTGGTCTTGCTGTCCAGGCGGGTCTCGAACCTGTGGGCTTAGGCAATTCACTCACCTCAGCCTTCCAAAGGCGCGGGATTACAGGCTAAGCCACAGATGCATGTCACCATGCCCAGAAAAAGACTTTCAATTTATCAACCACAGGGAAAAATGCATCAGCCAAGCACACCAGGTGGCCCTGGCTGGATCCTGATGCAGATGGACCTACTCGAAGGACACCATCCATGACCAGTGGGGACACTGAGCACCAACTCGCCTGTCTAAGTGGCCTGGCCAGGCAAGAGGGAAGAATTCTGGTTCCACCCCATGTGGCACAATGACACTGTCCCAGGTATGCTCCAGTCCTTAGAAGAAACACGCTGTGCTCAAGGGCCTGAGGGCGGCAGCCTACACGGCAGGAGGCCGAGCCTGTGGGAGGCGGTGACAGGTGATGGGCGGAGAAGCTTCACGATAAACCTGCGTGTCCCAGAGGGACTGTGGAATGTGGCCAGGCAGCCTCAGGGCCTCAGGCCGGGAGCAGACGCCAGCACTAAGTGCGGGGCATGGGTAGAGGTGCCAGCTCAGGCCTGGGGCAGCCACCAGGGCGCAGCCAGCAGAAGCTCTCACCCAGCCTTCCTTTCCTTTCCATCAGGGAGACACCTGGGGCCCTTTCCATTCCCTGCATCCCCATGTCCCCCACTCAGGACAACCGCCCCTCCCAGAACCAGGTGGGGGTCGGTTCTCACCTGCAATCACGGTGTTCACACATTCATAGAGAAGGGACATGGCAGACGTGCTGCGGGGAAGACAGAAGAGGTGTGAGGACAGCAGTCTTGCCAGATGCAGCAACGATGACTGGAGACTTGCTGGAGATGCCTGGGCCCCACCCCAGAAGGCAACGTGGCAGTGCAGGGTGCCAACAGGGGGACCATGCCCTGCACCAAGCCCAGCCAGTCGTCAGCCCGCCTTCCCAGAGAGGGGGCATGAGAAATGCTAAGTCACGAGCCCTGTGACGCTTTGGTCCGCAGCGGCCTCACGCCACCCCACCCCACGTGCTCGCTGCACCTTGTCCACGTCCCCACAGCACACAGCAGCCACATGCAGCGCAGGCCACACCACAGCCTGGTATGTGGGAGGCCACACTGTCTAGGTAAGGGTACACACAACACGCATGCGCCATGACAAGCCCACCCAAGGAAAGGTATCTCCTCCAGGGCCAAGCAACTGTATGGTCGTATCTTAAAGTCACGGATGAGCTTCTGCCTGCAGCCCAGCTGACCCCGCCCCCTGTGGGGGGGCTGGGTAGGGTCCTGGCTCCTGTGCAGAGGAGGCAGCCCCCAGTGCCCCACCCACAGGCCCAGGCCCGTTGCTGCTCAGCCCCTAGCTGCTGGCCTGGCGCCTACCACCTGCACCCCACGTCAATGGGCTGAGCACCTCCAGTCTAGTAACCAAAGACGGCCTGGTCCAAGAAGCTCCGCGCTAGGGTACCATTTCCCTAACCTTCCAGTTCTGTAATGTACATGAAGAAAACCCAAGTTCTAGGCCAGAACGCTGGCTCATGTCTATAATCCCAGCACCGTGGAAGCCTGAGACAAGAGGCTTGCCTGAGCCCAGGGATTCAAGACCAGCCTGGACAACTTGGCAAGACCTCATCTCTACAATAAATCAAAAAATTAGCCAAGCGTGGTGGTGCACACCTGTGGTTCCAGGTACTTGGAAGGCTGAGGCAGGAGGATTGCCCCAGCCCAGCGGGTCAAGGCTGCAGTGGCCATGAGCATGCCACTGCACTTCGGCCTGGGCAACACTAAGACTCCTACTCAAAAAAAAAAGAAAAGAAAATCCAAAGGTCTCTAGCAGCATGGAGAGGGTTCCACAGCACAGACCACCACCATGTGTGGTCCAATGCTAATACAGTGGGACCACTGCACCCATAGCAAATCTCTGTGTCTACTTCCTATTATGTGTGTTAGATCCGCACCTTCTAGCAGGAGGATCAGAAGCTGGCCCTGGCCAGGCTTGCAGTGCTAGAGCGAGGGTCAGGCTGGCGTGACCTGGCCACGGGTCCGACACAAGCCACAGAGCGTCTGCAGTGCAAACAGGGCTCCCTGGTCGGGGTTGGCCAGGGGGCACGAGGCCACCACCAAGCAGAAGCACATCCCTCCAGGTGTACTGTGGACACTGGCCAGCGGTATCCCCTCCTGCCCAGGTAGTAGGCGTCACTCTGCTGTAGTGCCTAGGACCTACCTGTGGATGAGGTTGGTGAGAGGCTCGATCAGCTTCTTGCCCAGCCGTGGCTCCAGGGGAGTCAGAGCGCCAAACTGTGGGGACAAGATGAGCCGCGGTCAGCCAACTCCAGACATACATGCCTATGGGATGGGGGTGCCCTCCAGGACTACCCTCCCCACCACCTGCGCCCCCAGCAGCCCACTTGGGGTCAGGGTGGCACCAGCAGACTTGCCAGCTTGATGATCTTGATGAGCACCCAGTTGTTGGTGGAGGATGTCATGAGCTTGAAGAACAGCGGGGCCAGCGACAGGTAGTTCTTGGGGTTGCGCCGGGCCAGCTCGCAGATGACATTGACAGCGGCCGACTGGACCCCTGGGGAGCAGAGGGCCTCACGGTAAGGAGGGGTATGTCCTCATCAACAAGGTGGGGCCTCATGAAAGGGGGTCTCAGCTGGGTATGGGGGCTCGTGCCAGCCATCCCAGCACTTTGGGAGGCTGAGGCAAGAGGACTGCCTGAGCCCAGGGGTGCAAAACTAGCCTGGGCAACTTGGTGAGAGGTCTTCTCTAAGGTAAGTCAAAAAACGAGCTGGGCCTGGTGGTGCCTGAGGTCCCAGATACTTGGAAAGTTGAGGTGGAAGGATCACCTGAGCCCAGGAGGTCGAGACTGCAGTGGCTGTGAGTGTGCCGCTGTACTCCAGCCTGGGCGACAGAGTGAGACTTGATTCAAAAAAAGAGAGTATCCTTATCAACAGGACAGAGAAGGCCTCACCAGCATGAACCCCGCGGTCGGGACTAGAATTGGAGATGCAAAAACAAAACTTGTAGTTGTTGACGCATACAGAGTTAGACAGCAGCAGACACAGGTGTGAGCGTGACAGTGTAAACACACGCACAGGCACACACACACTCTCAAACTCATGTACACTTCCACACAGAAATACATAGGCACACGCACACTTACACACTCATGTACACACACACGTGCATGCACAAACGCATATACACACACGCACATGCTCTGTCTGCCAAGAGTGCCTAACAGTGACCACCCAGCCGTGAGCACACCTGGCACCCACGTCTGGGTTTCTCTAGGTAAGGAGCTGAGTTGATAGCAATGACCAGAAAGCAAAGGGGTGTGACACGGGCACAGGAAGCTGGGAGGGATGCCCAGTGGCCCATCTGTAACACATGAGCAAAGATATAAACCCTGATAGCAATGAACAACGGGTCATGGAGTAAAACAAATGCCCTAGGCGGGCTCGGTGGCTCAGCCTGTAATCCCGTGCCTTTGGGAGGCTGAGGGGAGTGGAC